CCTGCCCGAAACGCTACGCGTACTAGTGGCTGTACAAGAATGTAACAACTCTTGTATATATCTCAAAAAAAAAAAAAAAAAGATTATTAGAAGTTACCAGGATTCGCGGAGCAGCAGGGCCGACATCCATGGTCCGTATAAAGTTTGATGAGCCCCTCCCTGAGCGGGTGGCACTACACAGGACCTCGTACCAGGTCCAGCCCTACAACTTTCCTGTGGTACGATGCTATGCTTGTCATCTATTGGGTCACAGTCGCCTCACCTGCCGTAATGCAACATGCTGTGCAAACTGCGGCAACACAGGCCATACAGACAGAGATAACGGTGGGTGCTCTGCTTCACCTCGCTGCCTTTTATGCCATGACCATCACAAGGTTACGTTCAAGAGTTGCCCGGTATATCTTGAGGCCCTCCAGTTGGACATCGATCATAAAGCTGCGGGGACCCCCTCGACATGAGCTGTTCTAGAGGTTGCGCGCCCTCAATCAGCCTATCGTTCCTTCTCGCCACCAGGTTCCCCCTGGTCGGGCCTCTTCACAAGTAGGATCTAGCAGAGCTCTTGTCTATCCCAGCCACATATGCCTCATACGCCCAGGCTGCTAATCGATTTTCCCTCCTAGGTCGCCTCGACATGGATGCAAACTCATCCACGGATAGACATGGATGCTCAGTCTCGACTGGAGTCCGGCACTCGTCACCCTCCTGCCTCTCCCAAGCGAAGCCAACACCGACGTCGTCGACACACCTATCGATCAGGAGGTTCTGCTCCATCGGATAGCCCTGATGATCCTCTGGTCCCCCAGGCGCTTCCCAGGGGATTGACACTGGTGGAACATGAGGCCCAGAGTGAAACACCCACCAGTCGCAGGCGCCGTCAAGAGAGTTCGCGAGCAGATCACCGCTTCCGTCAGGCATTGCTCAACAGCCTCTGGACTGGTTGCCATTGATACCACACATTTTACTTACTTTGTATGAGGGCTTTATGGCTTTTTCTGGTGGTTCATTATTTGGAGATGTCCGTATACAGTTGGTCAGAAAATTAGGTGCTGTATTTCAGGCATAATGGTGCCCCATCCTGAGAATACTGTGGTATTTTGGAATGCCCGCTCCCTTTTTAAGAAGACGCAATTTAGCCAGCGCGCACCACCGTTGATCGTGGGACTCTGTGAGACGTGGCTTACTGATGATCTTTCCTTCACGGTTCCGGGGTATTCGGTCTATAGACAGAATCGGCCGGTACGGGTTGAGGGGGACTTGCCCTCTCGGTCAGGGACTCAGTCTCGAGCTCCTTGCTCCGGATTCACTCCTTTCCAGGCGGACATTTGGAGTTCATGGCAGTGAAAGTGGCCCTCTCCCATGGGTGGGGCACCTTTGGAGTTCTGTATAACCTTTGTCTACTAGTAACGGCAAAGGAACTAGAACACTATTTTGGTCAGCTCACGGACACCTGCCTCGTCATGGGTGACTTTAACGCTCGGCACTCTTCATGGCAACCTACGCTATTGAGTCATCACCACAACATGGTTGGCCAAGCCCTGATTTCAGTTTCTCCTAGACTCCCCAGATCTCTCTTTACTGACGCCGCCAGGTTTGGGAACCCGGATAGACCAGCTTAATGGGCATACTTCAACACGATCTCTGCATTGGAAGAGGCCCCCTCACGATGGCGCAGATATGGACCGGGCCATACCTGGGTAGTGATCACCTGCTCATCGTCATTTCCTTTGGAGGCACTGTCTGTCCTGCTCTGACCACCTGGAGATCCAAGTGGATCTTCTCGGAGGGGTGGGTTGCTTATGAGGCGGATGACTGGTCGACCCTTCCCCCAGCAACGGCTGTGACAAACTTAAGGAATGGTTCAACAAATGGTTACTAAATGTCAGCTCACATAAATGAAAAGTAATGAATCCACCCTGATTGTTTTTTGTTTCAGAAGGCAAATGCGGTGGCTCATAAGGCTATCTGTACAGCCAAACTGTAAAGATGGAAATTTTGTCTCCACCATTATGGTTGACATCTTTCTCCCTCAGATCTGGAAGAAAATTTGTGAGATTGTAGGCAAATTTGTATATCGCCTATTCTTCATCTCTTTGGTTCTGTCGCTGCAGATCTGTTATTGGTCACGAACAAATTGGATTTTCTCTTTACAGCCTATTGCTTTGGTACTCATTTTCCACTTTCCTTGCTCGTAAGCCTCTTATTGAGTTTAATCCCTTGGACTTTCGCATTCACCTACAGCTTCCCTCTGTCTGAATTCCAGTCTTTCCTGTCCTCCTGTAGTTCTACGGATGCTGGCTCAGACGACATTCACTATGATCTGCTAAGGCATCACCCTTGGTGCAGCTTTCTGTATTTGGTAAGTGTCAAATTCCTGCATTTGAGTGGCAATATCAGTCCCTGAGGACTGGCTCAAGGTTCTTCCTATTCATAAGTACAGTACTAAAGGTACAGTACTTCCGTTAAGGTTTTTTTATCCTATTGCCCTGACAAGGTGTCTGCAAACTTTTTGAACATATAATTAATATACGTCTCATGTGGCTTTTAGAATGCCATCGCTACCTCTCCCTTTTAATTTGGCTTTTGCAAGTGTTGCAGCAGGACTGACATCTTTGTGGACTTAAGAGGTCTACATTCATACTGCCTTTGCTGTGAATACTGTACCTCCACTGTTGCTATTCTTTTTTACCCAGGGAAACACTTATGACATTACATGGATACAATATTTTATCCCAACTCCATTCTTAACGCCTTCATGGTAGTCTTTCACTCTTCCATGAAAGCTTTCCCTCTCATCATTTACTTAAAGTAAGATCACTTTCACTGACTCCTTTTCAACAATATGAAGGTGTTCTCTAAAGTAGTGTTTGTCTTATGCTATGTGCTATGACTTTTACTCAGAAGCACATTATTCTTTGTTCTCCTTTATCGCTCTATGGTAATCCCCTTCTTTATTAAGATTCTGCTAATCTTTTTGGGGTTGATCTTTGACATTCATTTGTCTTGGTCTCCCCATATCTCTTACCTCCTTGTTGAATGATCTAAGGCTCTTACATTGCTTAAAATCTTGTCCTGTACTTCCTACAGGAGCCGACACTCACTCCTCTTGTGCTGCTCTAACTATTCCTATCTCTCCTTCGACTCTTTGGTCGTCTTGGTACTCTGCACCATACTGGTTTATACCTTAGCTCTGGTGCTTTATCCCCTATCCAGAGCTTGTATGTTAAAATCCTGTTTTTACAGGATCGTTGTGATCGTTATTGCCTTCCCTATCTTGCATAGTACCTGCAACATCCTCATTCTCACTAGAATTCAGCTAGTTGTATTCACTTAATTGTGCTTGTGGGGATTGAGCTCTGCTCTTTCGGCCCGCCTCTCAACTGTTACTATTCCCCCCCCCCTTCCCCAACACACACACGAAGCATCCCATAACAGCTGTCTAACTCCCAGGTACCTATTTACTGCTAGGTAACAGGGGCATCAGGGTGAAAGAAACTGCTCATTTGACTCTGCCTAGTCCAGGAATCGAACCTGGGCCACAGGATTACGAGTCCCGCGCGCTGTCCACTCAGCTACCAGACCCCCATAGCTCTAAGTACCATGCTTTGAATGTTACCTTCCAAATGGACCCTGTTCCCTGTTACCACATAACTTTTTCTGTAAGAAAAGATTCCTGCAAGAACCTGAACCTTAAATATTCTGCAAAAGAACCGGCAAGATTCTGTCTTGATTCACGTTTGCAGTATCTCTCATGTCATTCCAGCTTTGCTCCTATAGAGGGGTACTACTGGCAAAATTTTGCAAGGCCTTGACCTACATGGTGAAGGCTTATACCTCCTACTGCTATAAAGCACCTTTTCCTTAAACGTTTTGCGCCCACACTTCATTGCACTATTCAAAGATGGATCTAAGTTTCCCGATGTTGACTACTCCAGTGTCTTTCCTGACCAAAACTATATGTGCTGCCTACCCCTGAAGACTGCATTGTCACGGCAGAACTTTATGTAATTTTGTATGCTCTTCATCAACTGCTTTTCTTACGTCAAATTTCCTGTCATTATGGTTGATTCTTCTACTGCACACATGGCTCTGGAGTCACTTAAATCTGCAGTGGTCGAAATCCAATATTGACTGTTTCTTATCTCTAGTAGATTTAAGACATTTGAGTTTTGCTGGGTTCCTAGCCATATTGATGTTACTGTAAATGAACGTGCAGACACTGCTGCAATGGAGGCCATCCACACTTATCCTAATTTGCAAAATAGCATTCTATATTAAAATTTCTATCCAGTCATTCATTTCTCAGTTGTACACCTTGTAAAATGTCCAGATTTTCAGGACAACTGTATGTTTAGCTTTTCTATTGTCCATTGGGGTCATTTGTCCCTCATTAATATCCTTGGTGAATCTGATACCTTTGACATCACTCGACATATCTTTTTGTTCTTGTATTGGCATCTTGAGTGATATTTAGCACCTTTTGTATATTCAGTGGCACTGTTGGTGCGACATATCTTCCTTGCTTGGAGCCTTCTTTTGATAATTACTTAACACACCTCACTCATACAACAGTAACGCAATCACAACCAATTGCAAGTGGATGGGCTGCTACACTCAACCTCCATTTCCTGTACTCCTGATCCTCAGAATTACAAGGTTGACTAGACTGCATGTCTTTCTCTTGGATGTTACATCCAGCACCAACTTGCAAGCTAATTGTGCAACATATGATAAATTTTTATTAAGGGATATTGAAAATTTCAGTTGGGGTTTTCTAAAACTTTAGTACTGTACTTTAAATAGCTTTAAAATTTTGCATTATATTCTAGTTCAGAATTATCAAACCAGTAGAAAGTAATCCTGAAAGACAGACTGTCACAAACTTCCATTCAATTCTTTGTAGCCTAAACATTAATACAGAGTAATAAAAAATGCATTAGGATCAATATAGTTTTATTTAGTAACAACTTTAATAGTTATATATAAGAGTAATAAAAAATGCATTAGGATCAATATAGTTTTATTTAGTAACAACTTTAATAGTTATACAATAGTCAAATTTTCTGTAATTTCTGAAAAAGAAAAAATATCTTCATTGGTTTTTTGCTGTTGTTTGAGAGACTCATTAAGAGTACGGAGCCCTTTCTCAAATCTTAATTTAATTTTTTCTGGACGTTTCAATCCAGATAATAAACAAAAAAGCACACAGTTAACTTCTTCAGGAATTTGCTGGCAGAGAACCACTGGGAATACTGACTTCACATCTTCCAAAGTTTTCTTTTTCAGTTGCACATCTCGGCACACGAGGTTCACAATCAGTACTCCTAAGAATAAATAAATGGGTCTCAAGTATATTTTAACAATAATAATTACATCAATATAAACTCATATTTTGGTATAAATTAGCTAAAAGATTGGTGCTACAATACGTAGATTAATATCATAGTAATATTCTTTGTTTTAACTACTACAGGTATATTACCATTTATTGCCTGTATCCAAAATATTATTATTCAGCAAAGTCTTTACTACAACCATTTATATAAAAAAAATAGTGATGAATGTAATGAAACACCAATTTCTGGGTGAGCCCTGACGGTTCTCTGAAGCTACTATCACTGTGTCATACTACTATGCTCCATCAGAGTTCTATGGCCTACCAGGGACCAGGAGCCAGAGCCTGTCCTTCTCACAGAGGGGCACAGAGCAGTGGCATTTATATACTGTATTACATAATTCATTTATGCCACGAATGAGGAAGGCATCATAGAAAGTCAGTGAAACAAAATAAACCCTGGTGGACCAAACTCTCACAAGTCAAGCCTGGCCTCGGGCCGGGCTTGGGGAGTAGAAGAACTCCCAGAACCCCATCAACCAGGTATCAACCAGGTAAACCACTGATGGCTTTAAACGAGACCACAACCTCCAGAAACAGCTATTGAACTCTCCCAAGAATGTAAACAAACGACCAAAAATTTCATGGACCTAGCGCTAGCTCATTCACCCCATCTTTCCCCTCGTTTGCTGGAAGAAGGGGGAGCAGCCAGGGGAGTCAGCCAGTTTGATAATGATGCAACCCTGCCCTTCCCCCCCCACCTCTCCTGACGACCTGGAGGGAGAGAGCCACTGGGGCTCACCAAAAAATGGTGTTTCATTATATTCAACGCTTGTTTTCTGGGAGGAGCCCCTTGTGACTCCCTCAAGCTAACTACCCACAAAGAAGAGTAAATGGGTGGAGGAAGGAGAGGAAGCCAGATCAAAGGGTCCCAAACCCTTGTGAGGAAGAGGGACCGACAAACACCACCACAGGCTGATGGAAAAAAAACAAAAAACCCATGGATCATGGGGCCAGGCATCAGTAAAGTGAGCAAGCTCCCTTTCCCCAACTGCCCTGTATGGTTATACCACACTGTATGGTTACACCACATGGCCACACTGTATGGTTACACTACATGGCCACACTGAAAGTTTGGGGATAAAAAAGCACATATCATGATACAAGAGAGTAAAAGGAAATAATCTTACCTCCTTCCTTGAGGCAACTTGAGACCACTTCCAAGAAACTGATCTCAATGAATGCTTGAGGAGGGCAGCTCATACCCACCGTCGAATCCTTAGAGTCCACATCAAACATGATCACGTTGAATTTGGTTCCTGTTGACAAGAGGTAAGGAGTGAGCCGACAGTGTACAACTTGCACCACTTTTCCTTCAGGTGCAATAACCCAAGAACACCTAAACTATATAACATGACAACTTTGTGTCAAGTTTTGTTGAGAAAAGATTAAATGTCTTAAAATATTTCTTTAAAATCCATCAATGTTTATACATTTTTATACCTTATATTGTATCCCCTGTATTGTATTTCCTGTATATCAGTGCATAATAAAATTGCATTGTATCCCCTTGTATTGTATACCCTGTTTTATATATGCATTGTATTGTGTCCCCTGTATTGTATAATTGCATTTAATTGCCTGTATTGTATTTCCTATACAGTATATTATATTATATTTTATGTCTATCATTGTATTGTATTCTTATATTATATTTCCTGTATTATATCATTGTATTGTATCCATTGAATTGTATTGCATCCCCTTTTTATATCCCCTGTATTGTATCATTGCATTGTATCATTGTATTGTATCTATTGTATTGTATCCCTTGTATTACATCCCCTGTGTTGTATCCATGCATTTTGTCTTGAATTGTATTTCATCCTTTATATTGTATCATTGTATTGTAACCCTTGTATTGTTTTTCTAGTGTTACATTTCTTGTATTGTATACCTTGTATTTCATGCCTCCAACAATAGCTACCGCTTCATGCTTTTACTCCACTTAGTTTGAGAGAACTTGTTATCAAGTTTTGTGTACACGTAATCCTTGTTTATCATGCCACAAACATGCTGCTAATTCCAATCATGTTCCATGAGTGGAATTAACCATTCCACTCATGGACCCACAAATGTTTATGACTAGGACATCTGCCTGCTGTGCTGTATGCTATGGTATATTCAACTCATGACACTACAGTATCTACAAATCTGAAGAAGAAAATCATTTTATACTGCCATGTGGATTTTACCATCTGCTGCTGCACTCTGAATATATTTGATGCCATCATTGATTTCTACTTTCAGTCTTGAATTAGGCACAAAGCCAAACCACTTCTGGGCAATGTGTACCATACTGGGGTCAATGTCAACTGCCGTCACCGTAACCTGGGGAAGAAGAGCAGACGTCACCTTCCAACTTGCACACAATTAGGTAATTACACTTAGGTAATTACACACCCAAGCAAAACTCATTATTCAGTAATAATAAATAACAATAACATACTGTAGTATTATTACATACTATCTAATAATAATAATAATATTGCACAAAGAGATCACATTAATGTGATGTATCAATGTATTCATGGTCACTTGACCCACCAGAAACCAATCCCCATTTATTGTTTGCCAAAACAACACTTAACAAATCCAATAAACTATATAGAATGAGAATGTGATTGAGAGAAGAAGAATACTATACCTTAGGGAAGTACTTATGGATGTAGGTGGCGAGAGGTCCGCCACCCAGGCCGACTAGCAGAAGGTCCGAGGCAAGTTCCACCAGACCCATCCCTCCCACCATCGCCACATGATGTTCACATGACAGGAAGGAGTAATCTACACTAACTTTCTCCTTTACACCACCTTTCTTCTTCTTTTCCTTCACTATTGACAAAAATAACACTTTGAGTGAACAGTACTGAACTTTTGAAAAAGAAGCTTCTTTCTGAGCAGGACACTTGATTGCTACCTTAGTTAAGTGTCCACCTTGTTAAGTGTGCAAGTCTCCTGTGAACATAGCCAAATTCCAACTTTGTCGAAATAACCTCCATATCCCCAACTCGGCTGAAATCTGTTCAAGCTGCCCCTGCTGAACTATGTGTGGGGGAAGGAAAACACTGAAAAATTTTCAATCCAGTCCAACAGATGCATTCAACTACACAAAAAAAACTCCTTCCAGCACTGCCAAGTGTTGCTTCTGTTAACATATTACTGTAGTAGCTTACTCAGAATATAATATAGTGCTTCATGTCTGTACCCGTTCTTCAATAGTACATCTACATTTGCATTTTACTCTTAAATCTTATGAAAGGAAAATATAATTCTAATATTCAAGAAACATTGAACATGTATCCCATGCTCTTGCATGGGATGTATGTTCAAATGATGCATGTACTGGGAAAAATCAGCAAGAAAAGAATAGTGGAACATTTGGAGACTAAATTTTGTAATGGAGAGAGAACACAAATTGAGAAGGAGAAAATCATTCCTAACAAACTTAAATGAATAGCATGACAAGGTCATCAAAATATAGCAAGAAAATGAAGCATGAATAGACTGCATTTTCCTATACTGTTGGAAAGCTTTTGATACAGTTCATCACAAGAGTTGTTGCGATACACAACGTGGAGAGACAAGCAAGGATAGTAGGAGATACCATACTGGTAAGAGAGTATCCGATGAACTACGAGCAAAGGGTCATAAACAGAGAGGATATTTAAGGCTTTAGAAGAGTGGAAAATAGGAGTCCTCCAAGTTGTCCTAAGAATGTTGCTCATACGTCATATTATATTTATGTTAACGACCAACCAGAAGGAGTGAGTTCGTACATGTTAATGTTTGCACATAATGCAAAATTTACGAGAAGAGGAAGAACTGAGGAGGACTGTAGGGTGATGCAAGAAGGCCTCGACAAACTTTAAGAATGAGCATTAAATGGCTACAGGAATTCAATCCAAATAAATATAAAGTAATAAAATTGGGAAAGGGAAAGAGGAGATTTGTAGGTAACTATACCATAAGGGAATGTCAACTACTAGAAACACAGAGAAAAAATATGGGAGTGTATATAATCCCAACATTAATACCAGAAGCTTATGTGTATAAGAAAACATCAGCAGCATTTGGGAAGTTAGCAGACATGAGAACAGTACTTATGAATCTAACAAGGAGGCTTTCAAGTCTATGTACACTGCTTATGTGAGATCATTACTGAAGTAATGAGAACCAGCATGGAACCTGCACCTTATGAAGCACAAAAGGAATCCTGAGATAGTACAGAAATAAATACCAAAATTGAGAGTGCCCAGCTAGGAGGACAACAAGGGACAGCTTGAGGACAGAACACATTACAACTTTAAAAGATATACTTGACAGTGTCTTTAAAGCCAAGTTATGTTTGGAGGAAGCATGTTTGTGTGTTGTGTTGAGTCGCTTTCATTCTGAGATGGACTGAAAATTCTCCAGTGTCTTTCTGCTACACATAACCTGGCAGAGGTAGCTTGAACAGATCCCAACTGTGTTGAAGATGAAAAGGTCAGTCTGATCATGTTTCAATTTACCTATGTCCAGGAGAGAGCTGGACCATTGTCTAAGTGGTATAAACTCAGAAATATATTATTAAAATAGCTTATGATGCATTCAGTTCATTCTCAAGATGTGGCCTACAACATAAAACTGTCAACATTGGTTTGCAGTTAACCAATAATGTACACGATATTTTAATTACAAAGTGATGTATGCTTTATCCATCAGTTACAGATATTCAACAGAAATGCACCATTATGATTATTGCATGTTATGAATTTGAAATTGGCATTGTAATTTAACATTCATATCTTTGACTATCATTCACTTAAGTCTATAAATAATAAGAAAGAAAATGCAGAATAGAACCAGGGAAGAGCAGGGGGGTGCCATAGACACAATCAGAGAACACTGTTAGAACATCAGAGGTCCACAGTTGTTCAACATACTACCAGCAAGTATAAGAAATATTGCCAGAACAAACGTGGACATCTTCAAGAGAAAACTAGATAGTTTTCTTCAAGAAGTGCCGGACCAACCGGGCTGTGGTGGATATATATGGGCCTGCGGGTAACTCCAAGCAACAGCCTGTTGGACCAAGCTCTCATTCACTTTTACTGGGGAGTAGAAGAACTCTCAGAGCCCCATCCATGTACAATCCAGGTACAACAATAAAGTATTATTGGGGGGAGCCCCATGAACTCTGAGGAGTTGATGGGGCTCCCCCCAGAAAAAAAAAGGCTTTCAACAGAGTTCCACATAAGAGGTTTTTCTGGAAACTGCAACAACCTGGAGGGGTGACAGGGAAGCTTCTAACATGGATGAAAAATTTTCAAACAGAAAAATGAAGGCAGTAGCTAGAGGCAATGTATCGGACTGGAGAAATGTCATGAGTGGAGTACTACAGGGTTCAGTTCTTGCACCGGTAATATTTATTGTCTACATAAATGATCTACCAGAAGGAATACAGAATTATATGAACATGTTTGCGGATGATGCTATGATACTGGGGAAGATAGGATACAAAGATGATTGTAATGCCCTTCAAATGAATCTAGATAAAATAAGTGCTTGGAGCAACACGTGGCAAATGGAATTCAATATGAATAAATCTCACGTTATGGAATGTGGAATCGAAGAAAATAGACCACACACACAACTTATAAATTATGTGGAAAGAAATTAAAGAACTCGAATCTAGGGTTGGTTTTGGATAGTAAACTGTCACCAGAGGAACATATAAAGAACATATATGTGCTCTTGGAAGACTCGTTTATAACTGCCAAGCAATACAGTGTTGTTTAGCCCATCTGCATTTCATTCTAGCATACTAAATGTGGCAACAAAATTAAGATTATCAGAAAACAGAAGAAGTGATGCAGCTTCTTACAGTTAAAACATCCATTCAACAACACATGACAAACCTGTTATCAGTTTGGCTTCAGACTGCACTACATTTTGATTGGCCAAGAATATGAGTCGTCTGAGTTTTGAAGCCCCGGGAGGTTGGACATCCTCCACCAGATAGTCACCAGAGTACTGACTCTGGCCGCGAGTTACTTCTTTCCTGGACCCCAGGTCTTCACCAACAGATAAGAATGGTATCTAGGAATATGATGAGAAATGTTCTTACTGTACAGTATATTGTAGCTATTGGCAGAATTTTGTATGTTCTGAAAATGTTATACAGTGAATACAGATTTATTTACATTTTTTAAACATTTAAGAGAAATTTGAATTTTGATAACCTAATAGAATATTTCTTGTAGTTGATACATCACAAATAAAAATATACAGCATTAAATATATAGAAATGCCACTTTATGGTAGAGCTCCTTAAATTAAGTGGCTCCTCACTACTGGGTCACATCAGTTGCAGGAGTCCTGTTTAGGCTACTGTGGGACCACCAGCCAGACTCCAGCCAGGAGGCGGGAGTTGCCACAATATATTTTGTATATATTTATTCCAATGTTTCTGATTAGTTTTCTGTGGAGAGCCCCTCTGGCTCCCAAGAATTATACCAGGCTGATGTGTATATATTAGACAGTGGCAACAGTCAATCGATGGCATTCTAGGCCTACCGGGGATCACGAGACAGAGCCTGGCCCCCTCAGAGAGGCATGAGGTGCAATGGCCTATAGACACTCCCCCATGTAGTTGGAAGCAGTCTATGTTTGCCATCTACCAGGTCAGGCACCCAGAAAGGTAGGAATCCCTAAACAAACTACAGCTGGTTAAATATTGCATATCGAATGCCAAACGAGCAAGCAGAACATCCAAATCATAAAACAAGCAAACAAGCATGACGTCACCACAGCCGCCGCGCTGCTGTCTGCGCAACTCCCCCTCCTCGGAAGGGGGAGGGGGGGGGGTAGGTCCCAGACCTCCTGTGCTGGCTACCCAACCCAAGTTCTGAGGCTGTTGCGTTGGGTGGCAGTCGATAGACTCTGGCTCCAATCTTCGGGCAGTGCTGTGCCTTGTGGTGTTGTGCTGCGGTGTGGTGGTGTGCGAGCCAGTTGTTCTTCCAGAAGTACTGGGGCTGCATGCACCTAGGGCCATTTTCCCTAGGTGCCCTGTAAGTACTGCCCCTTGCAGTTTGGGGTTACCTACCAGAAAAAGCCAGTGCTTTTAGAGGATGCAGACGGGCTTTACACAAGGTGCTGATATGATTTATTTCAGCATTTTTACTCTCACATGTGTATCCAACGTACATACCCATACTTGTACTTCTGAACACGGCTTAGTTCCACACCATTTAGAGTAAGTGTATTCATTAATACATTGAATAAGGTGAGACTTAATACTCCCCCTTGGTGGGTACCTAACTGAAACCTCCGTTCCTCAGACATGTATCCCTGATAATACACCTGACCTTTTCTCCCTTGTAGATAATCCCTTATCCAATATAGCAATCTTCCTAGTGTGGGCAGAGCCAAGGTCGAACTGACCAACATCTCCAATTCCAGGTCCTAAAAATTAACTGGAGCAGCTCCCAGGCTTCAAAATGGGTACACAACCAAGACCACTGCAGTTCAGAAAACCAAACACTAGCATCATCAGGAGGGTTAGTAAGAAGAGCAATGTGATAGGAACAGTCCCTGCACAACTCAGGGTTGAAGGTATCACCGACCCAACAGGCAGCATGTAGGAGGCAGAATGAATGAACGTAACCATATGGCACTGATGATGTGTACCATTCGAACTTGCATAAAGCTTGAGTGGGCTAGGGGGAAAAAACATCCAAGGCTACCAAGCCTATAGGAGATTACCAAAGACTGAAGGTTACAATATCTTGTAACCTGAGGGTCCCAGTAGTATAGTCGAGTTTGTTCTCGACGTACAATCGAGAATTCCAGGTTCGAATCCCAGGCAGGCCAGACATTGTTGGGCACATTTCCTTCCACCTAATGCCTCTGTTCACCTAGCAGTGAGTAGATACTCAGGAGTTAGTCAGCTTGTTGTGGGGGTTGCATCCTGGGCAGGGTCTGTAATTCGGCCTTGGGGAGGGGAAGGGGACATTGATAAAAGCCAAATGTGTATGAATACACTCTGGCTTCCTGTCCCCCGACACAATGAATTATAATACAAACCCAGGTACTGGGACACTATGCCAGTATTCTCAAAAAGTTCTACGTAAATTTACCCAGCCTAGTCAAGATGGTGGAGAAAAGCTACCTCGGTGTGCTGAAGTGCAGCTCACGTGTAACCCATTGCACCCCACCAGCCAAGATGCTCAAACTGAGAAAACGACAGAAGCTCAAATCCCCCAGACTTACCCCAAGGCAAAGGCCACCTCAAGAAAGGTGGACCTCTAAAGGAGCATCCCATGAACCCTCCAGGGAAGAGAACGCTTGCAGCACAAGGGAAGTACTAGGGAGTGCTTAGGAAAGGAAACCCTGAGCACGTGCAGCTCCAAGTGCACTTAACTCCTGGTTCATGCACACAAAAGTGCAAGGAACAGCCACCAAGGCAAAAGAAACCCAAGAGAAACAAAGAGGCCAGAGCAACTGTGGCAGACCCAGCACACATCAAAAGAGAACTGACAGTGGAGTGGCCTTTGAGCTGAGGTCTTGCCCCCCTCCTCCATTGAAACGTGGGGGAGGGTGGGGCGAACTAACGGGTGCTAGATTTGTAACATTTTTTATCATTTGTTTATGTAGTTTGGGGAAGTTCTATGACCGTACTCAAGCCTTTAGGACTCGGAAACTGCCAGCTATGGTTTGTTCTGACTCAATGACTTCCTGGGTGCATTCCTCGGTGGTAGCACAAATGAATAACTTATGCCAGAGCACCCTGTGCCTCTGTGAGGAGACAAGGTTCTGGCACTGGGTCCCTGTTAGCACAGAGAACTCCACAACCAATAGCACCTACATCGGAGACGTTAGCTTCAGGAAGCCACAAGGGTGCCCCAGCGCCCAAAGCCACAAGCCCAAGAAAGACAAATAAATAATCTAAAATATTAAACTATTGTACGTGTATGATAAATCAACTTTGGAAACTATATTTTTCAAGAAGATGAATAAATAAATTACCTTTGTGTTAGATGGTAGTGCAGAAGGAGCCAACTCCATAACTCTTGCAGAGAGTTCCTCTTGTATTCCTTGTAAGCTGTGGTATGTTTGTCCCCTCATGAGGTGCACCACCACCAGGCGTCGTGCACCAGCACTCTCCGCAAGCTTCTCCCTTCCTCTCTGGCTTCCAAACATCCACTCATGTTCCCTTCACAAAAAACAACACTTCTGGCATTAAGTTTGTCAAGTCTGTCATGGCACTACAGTACTTGCAACTACAGTACTACCATCTCCTCTTATATACCCCTTTCCTAAAGTGTGCAAAGGCTGCCCTACTGTTCTGTGATGCTGGCATTCTCAGCCTATCCTCCTGTTTTTGATAGTACTTATAGGAAGGATGAGGACCATAGGACACATACCGACGTACAACACAATTAGAAAGTAGAAATCAGTAGTACTGAATTTGGACAAACTGGGAAAACGATTGTCTACTTATGTTGCAAAGATAAACTAAAATAATCTAACCTAACCTTCCTAGGCCTAATACATGCTATCAGAGGCCTAATATAATACATATGTGCACTATACCAGGCCTAGGTATATTTATGTTTGTTTTTTTGTTTATGTTTCATTTTTCGGACCCAATAAAGTGAATGGTACTAAGTTCTACTATGTAATTGCATATTATGTCAATGTTTGTACTATGGTTCATGTACAGTAGTTACACAAAGTAGTATCTAAAGAGGAGGATGGGTTGGGCATTCCCCACCTCCAACACCTTCTCTTTAAGAATGGTAATTCCCCAACACTCACCCTAGGACACAACCCATCCAACACCCTCCTCCACAGTGGACAATGTCTCCCACACCCCAATTCCCAGAATGGAGACCATCCCATGTCACTCTCCCAGGGTGGAGACCATCCTGCTTGATACCTGCTTGGTGGGGTTCTGGTAGTTCTTCTTCCCAAGCCCGGCCCAAGGCCAGACTTCACTTGTAAGAGTTTGGTCCACCAAGCTGTTGCTTGAAGCGGCTCACAGGCCCACATACCCACCACAGCCCGGTTGGTCCAGCATTCCTCGAAGAAAATTATCTAGTTTTCTCTTGAAGATGTCCACAGTTGTTCCCGCAATATTTCTTATACTCGCTGGGAGGATGTTGAACAACCGTGGACCTCTGATGTTTATACAGTGTTCTCTGATTGTGCCTATGGCACCCCTGCTCTTCGCTGGTTCTAGTCTGCATTTTCTTCCATATCGTTCACTCCAGTATATTGTTATTTTACTGTATAGATTTGGGACCTGGCCCTCCAGTGTTTTCCCACGTGAATATTATTTGATATCTCTCTCATATCCTTTCTAGTGAGTACATTTGGAGAGTTTTGAGACAATCCATTAATTTAGGTGCTTTATCACGGCTATGTATGCCATATATGTTCTCTGTACAGTATTCCCATTATTTCAGCAATCTCTCCTGCTCTGAAGGGGGAAGTGAGTACTGAGAAGTACTCAAGATGGGACAGCACAAGTGATTTGAAGAGTAAAACCATTGTGATGGGATCCCTAGATTTGAAAGTTCTTGTAATCCATCCTATCATTTTTCTGGCTGACGTAATATCTGCGTAACTTTATTAATATCTGCTTGTAGTTTTTAATGTCTTCAACAGAGATAATTTTCATGCTGATTTTTATGTCATCTACAAAGGATGATACGAAGCTGTGACTTGTATTTGAGTCTTTATCTGATATGAGAATAAGGAAAAGCAGTGGTGTAAGGAATGTACCCTGAGGTACAGAGCTTTTAACTGAGCTTGGACTCGATTTTATATGGTTGACTGTTACCTTATGTGTTCTGTTTGACAGAAAACTGAGTATCCACCATCCTACTTTACCAGCTTTTCCCATTGACCTCATTTTGTGTGCTATCACTCCATGGTCACATTTATCAAATGCTTTTGCAAAATCTGTGTATGCCATATCTGCATTCTGTTTTTTTCTAATGCTTCAGTGATTTTGTTGTATTGGTCAAGTAGCTGTGAGAGGCATGATCTTCCTGCTCTAAATCCAAGTTGGCCTGGGTTGTTGAGGTCATTGGTTTCCATGAAATTAGTGACCTGACTCCTGATCACTCTCTCAAATACTTTTATTACGTGGGACGTTAGTGCAACTGGTCTCTAATTCTTTGCCAATGCTTTGCTCCCTCCCTTGTGTAGAGAAGCTATGTCGGCATATTTAGGCACATCTGGTATCTCCCCCATGTCCAAGCTCTTCCTCCACACTATACTGAGTGCCTGTGCTACTGGCACTTTGTATTTCTTTATAAATATTGAATTCCATGATTCTGGCCCCTGGGGCTGAGTGCATTGGGCATGTTGTCAATTTCCCTTTCAAAATCTGCCACACTTGTGTTGATATCGGTTATAATTACAGGGGTTTGGATATCATACATAAAGAAGTCATCCAGATCTTCCATTTTCATGCTGTTTATTGGAGAGCTAAACATGTTCTCATACTGCTTTTTTTAGGATTTCACTAATTTCTTTGTCATCCTCCATGCATCAACCTTCAATCTTACGAATAGGTTCAATATTGGCAATGGTTTTTGCTTTTGATTTTGCATATATGAAGAAATATTTTTTATTTTTCCTTATTTCTTGAGTTGCTTTCTGTTCTAGTTGCCTTTCTTCAATCTGATATGAATGCTCCAATCTCCGTTCAATTTATTCAATCTGCCTGTTTAAATTATTTCTTCTTTGTATGGAAAGTCGTATTGTTTCACATGTTTCAGACAGACTTCATATGCTTCAGAAGTCAGTTTTTTTATTCCTTGTGTAGGAGTTTTATTACTTAGAACAGTTTCCCTTGAATGTTTGTAAGGTTCCTGTTTATTTTCTCCCAGTCTAACCTTTTATTATTAAAATTGAATTTACTAGATAACCCTTCTCACTTGTTTCTCTTGGGCCTACCACCATTATTAATGTTAGTTTGCATTTCAATGATCTAGTGCTCCAAGTATGTAGCGTCTAAGATTGTAATGTCTCTGATTAGCTCATCACTGTTCGCGAATATCAGGTCCAGCGTGTTTACATTTCTAGTTGGTTTTGTAATCTGCTGATTGAGCGAGAATTTGTCACAGAATCTCAGTAGTTCTCTGACCTGTGGTTGGTTATTTCCAGGTTGATTTCCTGCTATAATGTTATTGTTTACTGTTCTCCATTTTAAACTGGATAGATTGAAGTCTCCAAGAAAGATAATACTGTATCTGGTACTGGATTTGCTAAGTTATCAAGAATATTCTCTATTTTGTGTATCTGCTCAGTGAATCCGATGTACATCACACTAGGGACTGATTAAAGTCCCTCTTCACTTCCCATAAAGTCACTACAGACCTTGTGTAGTGCTGCTTCACAGCCTGTATCAATAAAATATTGATGTGACCCCGTAGGATTCTATGCCCTCTGACAACAGTCATTTGGGCAGGACGGCAACCCTGTGATGTGAGATCAGTATTCTCATGGAAGAGATTATTATCGTGTGTCATATTCTCAACTTTCAAAACATTGGAATCTTGGAGGTTGCTCTTGCTACAATTAATCTTTGCATCCATTGCCAGCATGGTAACAACTGGCAACCCAGTATCACATCTGGCACCCCCTCTGTGTGTTACATGCTGTTGCACTTATTGCAAGCATTATTTATGCACCATCACAGTGTACTGGTCATGTATGTGTGTGTTCAGGGACTCAATGATCACAATGCACATTTTGTACAAGCGTCCTTCTTGGCATTTTTAGCACCATGCAAAATTATTCTTTGTTGCTTCTCTCATTAACACTTGTTTGTGCTGAAGAAGCTTGTGTTTTACACCTTTTGAGACTGGGCAATGCAAGTGTCTCTCTACTATCAGTATGGTGTGCTGCAAAAATATGAAAATTAAGAGAATGAATAACACAAATTCAAAGATCAGGAGAAAATGTAAGTGGATAAGGAACTGCTGGAAATAAAACATTACCTTCCATGTGGAACAATGAATACAGCAAATTTCAGGCTGTTGGACTTCTTGAGAGAGTCAACAATGTGGAGAACATATCTTACTCCTCCTGTCTTTGGGTCACACAGCTCCACTGACGTGTCCTCTCCTGCAATGTGCTGGAAAGCCAAAAGATAACCAATTATAAATAATCATAACAATTGTTATACTTTAAACTTTTCAATACAAAGAACATGCATAAATGTTGGAAATTTTTCCAAGACTTCTCATAAAAGATAGGGAGCATCCAGATCACTCCATTAATGAATAGAATGCATGGCTTTATAGCTAGAAACATCAGCAATAAATGCAAAATCATCATCCCCAATTATATTTGGCCGTGGTGACCCCACTTTGATTATGCTGTCACAATTCTGGTCACATTATTACAAATTGGACATGAAGTCCCTCTGGAAAATTCAGCGTAGGATGACCAAACTGATTCCTGGTATTAAGGACCTCTCATATGAGGAGAGGTTAAGGAATCTTGGCCTGCATTTCTTGGAAGAGAATGAGAGAAGACATGATAAATGTCTTCAGGTGGATCTCAGGTATCAACAGGGGAGATATGAGCAAGATCTTCATACTTTGATATCAGGTCAGATTCTGGAAGGATATGGGGAAGTACAGGTTTGGGACCAGAGTGAGAGAAGAGTGGAACAGGCTGCTGGCCAATATCACTGAGACAAATAGCTTTACAAATCCAACGTTGAATGTAATGAAACACCACCTTCTGGGAGAGGCCCACTCAGTAGCTGCTTAATACTACAACCGGGCAAAGACCAGAGGCCAGATTCATCAAGTATTTATACAAGTACTTACGAACCTGTACATCTTTTCTCAATCTTTGGTGACTATGTTTACATTTATTAAACAGTTTATGAGCTCCAAAGGCTGTTTATAACAATAATAACATTTGATTGGGAAGTTTTGATGCTTAAAAAACCGGCAATGAATGTAATGAAACGCCTGTTTCTGTGGGCTCCTGAAGTTACTATGCTGATATAGTACCAAACTACTAGGTGCCATCAGTCACAGCATTCTTTTAGACCTACCAGGGGACCACGAGCCATAATCTGGCCCCTTCTAGAGAGGAGCAGGGAGCAGTGGAACATATGATAAAATTATTATGAATTTATTTATGTCTGTCACCACCAAAGGAAGGCACCCAGAAAGTCAATTTAACAAAGCTGACCACTGCTGGTGATAAATGACTGCAGCCTTAAAAAGAACTCCCCAACAATGTAAACAAACGATAAAAAATTCCTGAAACTAGCTCCCCACTTGCCCCAGCTCGTTTGGGAAGAGGAGGGAGGCAGGCAGGCCTCCAATGCTTGAAACAGCATCATGTATGTGATGACTGCTTGGGACAGCATCATGCATGAGGTGACTGCTTAGAACAGCATCATGTATGAGATGACATACTTTGAACAGCATCGTGTATGAGAGAACATGCTTGAAACTGCATCGTGTATGTGATGACTGCTTGGAACATCATGTATGAGGTTATACTATTGGAACAGGATTGTGTATGAAACAACTGCTTGGAACAGCATAATGCATAGAACACCCCCATCATAGCAAATCAAAAAGTATAGTTTCCTCTGCCCTCAGTGAACGGTGGCATAACAATGATGTCAAAAGGACTGCAAAACAAAACATGAAAACATACAAATTTGGCTACCTATGATTTGTCATAGGTTGTATCTATTTGTAAATCAAATGCATTTTATTATTTATTTGTAAATCAAAAATCATGATTTGCAAATAGGAAAATCATGGCTCCTACGGATTTTCTTACTGACACGTCATGTTAGTGTGATTACTCTCTGTGTATTGGCTACCTACTTTGAACTATAACCTTCTAGAGACACATGTCCCCACTACATGATATGATTAATGAACAAATATTTATGTTAACATACAAAAGTCTTAAAAACAAATCTGACCTGTGAATGGAGGGTGTGTCGCAGGAGAGAAAACTGTTGAAGTTGCTGAATGTTACGCACCACCTCCTGTGTGCTCTCCACTCTGTGCACTCCCTCTCCTCCAAGCTCAACCTCAATAACCTGCAGATATGGAATAATAGTATATACTATATCAATAGAAATAAACAGCTTATCTTACTCCCACATTACACAAGTCGAGCCAATAATGCAGTAGTGGAGCTCCAATCTGTTGCATACAAAGAGAGGTTTCAGACAAAATTAATTTCATAGCCAAAAGATAGCACCACAGTGTGTACTGTTGTGATGATGCCTTAGTCCACCATTTGCTTGAAGATAGTGTAATGGGTTGTGGTATCGCAGCTATACTGAACCCAGATGGTATGGCTCTCCATCACACAAATAAATAAAAATGCTGCTATTGGCCCTTGCAGTGTTTAAGTCGCAGGTGGAAATAAATGAAAATCATCAAATAAATAATTAAAACAATTTACTGAAATATTAATAAACAAAAATGGCACCAGAGAATACTTGGAGGCTATTATTATATAACAAATCAAATGATAAGTAAATGAAAGTTTAACTAATACAAGATTATACTGGTGATGTTGAAGACAACTACTATACCACCACAGCATCCAGTATACAACGTTGGCTGAAGGCAGACGGCGTTGCAGGAGGCCAAGGTGATCCAAGGGCACTAAGAGAGAGACTGCCTCTCCAGGGAGGCGGTGCTCTTTATATAGTCCGGCGGTGATGACTCATCCGGTGTCAGCGCAAGGTGGACATCTGGTCAACTAGTAAACTGCTCGTGTGTGGTAGTTGGTGCCTTTGTGTTGAGCTGCACCACTGCCAGTTGAAGGCGGCTAACTGCTTGTTTGTGAAGGCAAACTACCAGTTAGCAGAGGCGCCCGGCTTGCCTCTGAGTCGTACCAGGCCATGCCAGGCCCTGGGGGGTACAATGAGGTGGAGAGGTGGCAGGACTGATGACTTATCTGTGCTGGTGTAGATGTAGACTTCCAGTGTAGAGCCATTGAAGGTGAGGAAAAAAGGCAGTTACACTGCTATGCAGGGGATTCACGTGACAATAGCTCAACACAATTTTCTCGAGGGGCTGAACGATGGCTCCCTGTTGTTAGCCTCACCAAGATATGTTGCATCTGCTCTTGTGAGCACTTAATAACATACCAGAGGGCAAAACCTGGCCCCTTCACAGAGGTGTAGGAAGCAGGGGATTGATAATCACACTCACTGAAGAAACAAATCCCCAGAAAAGAAGTGAAGCAATCCAGACAACTACAAGATTCACAAATAGTAAAGAAACAATGCAGCAAGTGACTCGGTAAATGATCCACCCAGTAAATCACTCTTTTGCCTAATGTCAAACATGTCTGATAACTCCATGAATCTCCAGTTCTTTGGGTTCCAGTTAGTCTAGATAAGTGTTGGCCATCCTTCAGATTCTGTCCATTGGAAGCCCATTTGCTTCATGTGCATGTGTTTTCAAGTACAGTATCATTTTTGGTGTGAACTTTTTAAACAGTGAGGTGGCAAAAATAAATACTGTATCGCCATTCCCTGCCTTTTATGAGGGGGGCCAGGTTCTGGCTCTCGTCACCGGAAGGCCTCTAGAACTCTGTGGCTGACGTGACCCCAGTAAATGATAACCATCTCAGCATATAGCTTTAGGGAGCCACCGGGGCTCACCCAGAAATTGTTGTTTCATTACATTCAACGCTGGGTTTTTTATCAACAAGGCAATGTCCCAGCTCCAGCCTTCACATGGTCAGCTGTGGTTGGGGCTCCTGTAGAACACCAAAGAAGCCTCCATCTGCAATTGGTCCCAGGGCTGCACCACCTCTTGAGTAGGAATCTTGAGAACTTCTTTGACTGCCTGAACTATGCCTGTATGAATATCCCCTAGGCCACATCTGATCCAAGATACTGAACAGGTTTCTTTATATATATTCTTCTGCACTTTCCTCTGAAGATTTTTGACACTCAGTACTGTATCTTGGAGTCATCCAGCTATTTACCAATGCTTCCAGCATAGGTCGGGGCTTCGGCTCTAGATTCCACCATATGGGTCAGGAGGCATTGATATCCAAGATCACTGAAATCTCACATCAATGTTCAGGAAATGATGGTTATTTTGATTATGCCTACTAACCTCACATCCCTCTAATGAAAGGCTCAGCCTTCGTCTTTACTGTAACAATGTGACACAAATGGACAGCAACCCGAGAGTACCACAGCACTTCTTGGAATATTAATACAGTATCAACAGACAGCTACCAGAGAATATAACAGAACATCTTGAGCAGAACATCTAAACTTACTTGCTTAAAGTTGTCCACGTGCCTGAACTTGGTACACACAAGGACAAACACAGGGAAAGAGAAATTTCCAGACTCTGCCTGTGACTTCTCAGCATCTTCACATCTGCAACGGAATATGGAGAAAACGCCTCTAATCGCTGACAATCTATGGTAAAGTGTTCAATAAGTATCATGTTCAGCAAATTCCTCAGCCAGACAAAAGAACACAAAAGAATGGAAAGATAGACTGGAGAACAAAAGGAAGGAAAGATACAAAGGAGAACATAAAGGAAGGGTAAGACACACTGGAGAACATTAACAAAGAGTAAGACACACTGGAGAACATAAAGGAAGGGTAAGACACACTGGAGAACATTAACAAAGGGTAAGACACACTGGAGAACATAAACAAAGGGTAAGACACACTGGAGAACATAAACAAAGGGTAAGACACACAGGAGAACATTAACAAAGAGTAAGACACACTGGAGAACATAAAGGAAGGGTAAGACACACTGGAGAACATTAACAAAGGGTAAGACACACTGGAGAACATTAACAAAGGGTAAGACACACTGGAGAACATAAACAAAGGGTAATACACACTGGAGAACATTAACAAAGGGTAATACACACTGGAGAACATTAACAAAGGGTAAGACACACTGGAGAACATTAACAAAGGGTAAGACACACTGGAGAACATTAACAAAGGGTAAGACACACTGGAGAACATTAACAAAGGGTAAGACACACTGGAGAACATTAACAAAGGGTAAGACACACTGGAGAACATAAATGAAGGGTAAGACACACTGGAGAACATTAACAAAGGGTAAGACACACTGGAGAACATAAAGGAAGGGTAAGACACACTGGAGAACATTAACAAAGGGTAAGACACACTGGAGAACATTAACAAAGGGTAAGACACACTGGAGAACATAAATGAAGGGTAAGACACACTGGAGAACATTAACAAAGGGTAAGACACACTGGAGAACATAAAGGAAGGGTAAGACACACTGGAGAACATTAACAAAGGGTAAGACACACTGGAGAACATAAAGGAAGGGTAAGACACACTGGAGAACATTAACAAAGGGTAATACACACTGGAGAACATAAAGGAAGGGTAAGACACACTGGAGAACATTAACAAAGGGTAAGACACACTGGAGAACATAAAGGAAGGGTAAGACACACTGGAGAACATAAAGGAAGGGTAAGACACACTGGAGAACATTAACAAAGGGTAAGACACACTGGAGAACATAAAGGAAGGGTAAGACACACTGGAGAACATAAAGGAAGGGTAAGACACACTGGAGAACATAAACAAGGGGTAAGACATACTGGAGAACATAAAGGAAGGGTAAGACACACTGGAGAACATAAATGAAGGGTAAGATAAACTGAAGAATATGAAAAAAGGGCAAGACACATTGAAGAACATGAGCGAAGGGTAAGATACACTGGCATAATATATACTGAGAAGTACCAGGTAAGGGATAATATATACTGAGGAGTACCAGGTAAGGGATAATATATACTGAGGAGTACCAGGTAAGGGATAATATATACTGAGAAGTACCAGGTAAGGGATAATATATACCGAGGAGTACCAGGTAAGGGATAATATACACCGAGGAATACCAGGTAAGGGATAATATATACTGAGGAGTACCAGATAAGGAATAATGTATACTGAGGAGTACCAGGTAAGGGATAATATATACCGAGGAGTACTAGGTAAGGGATAATATATATACTAAGGAGTACTAGGTATTGGATAATATATACTGAAGAATATGATAGAAATAGGAAGTAAAACTTTCTGCAAGAGTATACACCTGCCTGCATATCCTCATAATCCATCCATTCTTGGGGAACCAGTTGAGAACATGTTCGAGGATGTGAGCCTGAAGCAGTGTGACACACACGTATCGACCTCCCACACGCAACACTCGGCTCATCTCCTATGTGGTACAAATTACATTATATAGCACAAGTGGGCCTCACAGCACCTCAGATGCATTTCCAATGGTTCCCATATAAAAATGGTGACGCCGAGGAAAATAAGACTCGTGTCCCTAAAAAATAAAAAAAAAGACTACTACACAAATCCACATGCTGCAAGAAATTTGACAATTAACAATCTGAAATAATTTTAGAACTAATTCAATTATTTTATAAATGAATCCACCATAAATTTTATTAATATAATACAAAGGAAAATAATTTATTGTAAATTTTACATATTTAAAAGTGCATTTTCTGGGAGGAGCCCCTTCAGCTCCCCGAAGCTAACCAGGCTGATATGAATGTATTAAACCCTGTGTTATACTCAAAATTCTGTCAGTTGAAATGTAACCAATCACAGGCAAGTAGGCCTCTGACGTCATGCCAGACAGAGGAGCATCAGCGATGCTCCCAGCAGCCTCAGTTATCCTCACAGACCCAGAGTAGGTGGACCTCGGCTGGCCAGTTATACACCTGTTTGCCTCACTCAATAAATATATACAGAAGCGACTACTGTGTCTACATTCAACCCGAACAAGGCAAACGAATACTGGTAGCAGCAGTGGGATCCAGAAATTTTTTTCTGGAAGCAAAAGTTCCAGTACCCAGCATCGCCTCGTGTTCCAGCCAAAACCGCCGCCACCGCCACCGCCATAAGCCGCCATCCTGCCACCCACGCATCAAATATTGTGCCAGACCGGGGTCCTGCCATCAACCACTACTCCAGGCTAACGTTTTAGAAGTAAGGGTCAATATTTTCCTGTGAGAACGCTCACTCATCAGTGAGGAGGAAGGAAGCTTCCCGCGCCAGCCATTTTTGAACCTCGCGCCACCACGTGGGAACCACCTAGTGCACCCACCACCACCGCCACCCAAGCTGACAGTATCAAGCTTCGTGAGGGTGCAAGCTACTGCAATCGTCGTCAGCCATCGTCGCAAGTATCAACTGGTTATTCCATCGTCGCAATATTGTCGTCGTCAGAATTTATCTTCGTGCTTCTAGCGTGAACAGTGTGGGGTCCCTGAGTCTCACGCCACCGCCGCCAGGAGCGCTGCCGTCGCATCCAGTTTGTAAACACGCCTCACATGGGCCTCTTCCGATCTTCACGACGCTTCTCCTACTTTGGCTACTGGTGATCCTCATAAATTACAACCCTGAGATAAGTAATTGCTAGTTGAGAACAACGTGCCAAGTGTTAAAAAGTGACTTATGTAATAATTCCCATAATATCCTGTGAATTAACCATTCAGTGACTTGTTAAATATTGGAGCCGGTTTAGTACTCCAGAGGCCCACAGTTTCTCTGAGACATTTCAATATTCCCTGCATATGATTCCATTATTCATTAATTGTTACTAGTGTCATTACTGAATTCAAAGGTGAGAGAAGTAAGAAATAATTGTTTCTAGCAGTTATATACATTCCTGTGTCCAGTTTATGTGCTACATCCATATTTCTTGCATTGCCACTTGTTGTGTTGAATCTTTTTAATGAAATTTTGCAATTGCATTTCCCAGTTTTTATTCTAAATTGCTCATCAGTCAATGCACATGGAGTTTTAGGCCTACCGGGGACCATGAGCCAGAACCTTGCCCCTCTGAGAGGCACGAGGAGCAATGGCCTATTGAAACCCCCGTGTGGTTGGAAGCATTCTATGTCTGCCATCGACTGGGTCAGGGACCCAGAAAGGTAAGTGCCCCAAAACAAACCCTTATAAATATTGTTAAAATATTGCTACTGAAAGCCAAACTAGTGGACAGAACTCCCCAAATGAAAACGAGCAAATGAGCATAACATCACCACATTGCTGTGCCACTGTCTGTGCAACCCCCTCCCCCCCTCCCCGGGAGGGGAAAAGGGGTCGAAGACCTCCCATGCCAGTTACCCAACCCAAGTTCAGAGGTTGAAAATCAAATAGAAAAAAATGCTAACTGGATGGGAGGAGGGATGCCAGGAAGCCTCTAGGTTTCCCCTAGAAAATAGCGTTTCATTACAATCAACGCTGATTTTCTGTGGAGAGCCCCTTCAGCTCCCCAGAGCTACTTAACCAAAGATAAAACAAGAGGGACTTCCCCGGGAGGCGGTCGCCACTTGATCTTCAACTCAAAGTCAAGACAACTGGCAGCAACCTGCGACCCATGGCTGCACACACCCGAGAAGGGCCAGGAACATTAACAATTTACCATGCAGCCAGGACCTTGTCCGACCTCCAAATGCCCAGTGCCCAAATATCAGCCCAGGACATATTACTGTAAACAGCAGTCAAAGCTGCGACTTACGAACGTCGTAGGCACAAGGATAGACGGCAGGCTGGCTGGACCGAATAACCCTGCGGACAACTTGGGAGACCCATGCCCTGGAACAGGGAAGAAGGGAAACCGGGTCAACCCAAAATGCGACCTGTTGCCACAGAGGCCGTGGCACACAAATAACGATGAAGAGCCACACCGGACATTGGTTCTTCCATGATGAACCCCCGGAAGAACCAACCAAGCATCAACAACCCAAAGACCCCTCCAGAAAGCAGCAGTCTCATTCTTCGACAGAAAAGAAGGAGATGGCTGCAAACAAACCACTGACCACTAGGACCAAAGGAGCAGAAACCCCTGTGCCAGAGGAGAGCATGAAGCTCCCCAACCTGACCCCAGAGGCAAATGCCAACAAGAAAAGAGCCTTAGAAAAGCAGTCCTGAACCTAAGGGGCCATAACAAACCAAGGAGAAGAGAGAAAATAGAGCACCCGGTCCAATGACCAGGATGGCTCAGGCAACACATGAGCAGGCCAGAGATGAAACAATGCCCTAAAAAGCTTACAGAATAGAGCAGAAGTGACATCCTTTCCGAACGCAAGCTGAAAAGGCTCTACCAGTGCCACACGATACGAGGCGACAGTATTCAGCGTAAGATGATGGTACTGGAACAACCAAGATAGAAAGGACAAAACAACCCAATTAGAAATCAAAGACAACCTATGGAGAGACAAAAAGTGCCGAAAGGACCGCTATGAAACTTCATACTACTGTACTGCCGAGACAAAACCTGCAGGTGGGACACCATCAACGAAGCCACCTGATCACCATACAAGTGGTGATAAACCTGGGACGAAAACGAAGGGGACGAAAATCTAAGAGACAGGGACCAAGCAGATTCCAAAGAGTGGACGAGCACTGCCTGTTAACATGCGAGACAAGAAGCAAAGAACAGACACCCCGCTTCTAAAGGTTTCCTTGTTTTCTGATTGGGGAATTCTGCTTGCTCGTTCAGCTTTCGGTTAGCAATTTTTCACCAGCTGTAGTCTGTTTTGGGACTCCTACCTTTCTGGGTACCTGACCTGGTAGATGGCAGATATAGACTGCTTCCAACTACACGAAGTGTCTATAGGCCATTGCTCCTCGTGCCTCTTTGAGAGGGCCAGGTTCGGGCTTATGGTCCCCGGTAGCCTAAGAACTCCATCAATTGACTGTTGCCATGGTCTAATATATATGCATCAGCCTGGTATAGCTCCGAGGAGCCGAAGGGGCTCTCCACAGAAATATAATGAAAATCTTTATGTTGAGAGAGGTAATTAGTGTGCCAGGTATAAACAGCTAGGAGGTGGGACATAAAGAGGTAGATTAGCACTTATAGCTCGGGAAGCAACTGAAAGGACCCTCCCAGAAAATAAAACCCAGATTACTGGAAATAAGTCTCTCCTACTGCTATCTAGTCCATAGCAATGAGTAACATGCAATCATAACTACATCAGATTTGACCACTGCATCCAGACTTGCGTTCTGTTGTAACTCTATTTGACAAGATAGACAACTTAAGAGAAGCCATCTATATTGCATCCGTGCTCAAGAAACAACTTACATCAAAATACTTGTTGACAAGAGAGACAACTTCAGAGGAGCCATCTGTCATAAGTGCATCTAATGTGGCTTTATCCAACACACAAGTAAATTCTTCATTCTGAAATGATGATGCAGTGATGTCCATTTTCATCCATTTCATATCCGGACAATCTGAACTGTACCTCTCGTGCATTTGTTTAATAACAACCTCACTGTTGTCCACATTAGTGATACACCTGAAAAAGAATAAACACATTACTCAATAGTAATAATTGGGAAGCACAGTTCCCAACTTTTGGATCCAAAGTGACATTTTTGAGAATTGAGGTTTTTGCATGCTAATCAGTATGGCTCTAATGGAAATATGAAGTAAAGCACTTACAGTTTATAACTGAATGTACATTTTCTAAAGCTAAAAATCATGTGTTGAATGTAATGAAAAGCCCTTTGCTGGTGGGAACTCAGTAGCTGTTGTGGCCAAGCCTTAATAAGTGCACTTTGTCTCCAAGTGTATATCTTTGTCTCCACTTTGTCTCTGTCTGTAATAAGTGCTCCTTTGTCTCCTTGTCTTTGTCTCCTTTGTCTATCTGACCAACTGGGAGACAGGATCACAATTGGTTTCTCTCTTTGAGGGAAAGGGAGATTACAGATTGACCAAAAACGAACCAGAATTCTGAGAGAGATATTATATTTAGGGATATATGCTCAACTGAAAACATCATTAATATTAGCTTGTAGTTTTTTAATATCTTATACAGAATTAATTTTCATGCTGAATTTTGTGTCATCCGCAAAAGATGACACAAAGCTGTGATTTGTATTTTTGTCTACATCTGATATGAGAAAAAGCAGTGGAGCCAGGACTGTCCTCGGGTACAGAACTTTTCACTGTACTGTACTTAAGACTTGATTTTGTTTTACCAACTGTTACTCTTAGCAGTGTGTTTGACAGGAAACTGAATGCCCATCACTCTATCTGTTATTCCTAATGATCTCATTTTATGGCCTATCACTCTATGGTCACATTTATCAAATGCCTTTGCGAAGTTGAATACCACAACTGTATTTTTTCTTCTTTGGTTTCCATGATTTTGACATAGTGATCAAGTAATTGTCAGGCATGCAAACCAAGAAACCTATGATGACCAAACCACACTCTAGGAGATGAAGAGATGACGATGTTTCAGTCCCGGTCTACAATCAAGTCGATTGAGGACGGACCTCAATCGACTTGATAATGGTCCAGAACGGACCGAAGTGTCATCGTCTCTTCATCTTCTGGTGTGTGATTTGGTCATCATATCTTCAGCCATGTTACTGTGACTCATCATCTGTAAGAAACTTTTTTTTTTATTTTTCCTGGGAAGGCCCTCTTGGTGGATCATCAGATTAACCTCCTGGAACCTTTCAAACCTAAGGTACCACACCAGGATCTAACGAATCATTACCTGCAGTTACTTTGTTTAGGCAAAGTGTTTAGGCAAAGTGTTTGTTTAGGCAAAGTTTAGGCAGAGTGGTCTTCCCACTCTTTGACTTGGGGCGTGAACCCTTTTTTAAACTCTGGGACCTTTCAGCTTACTTGTTGCAGTGGCTTTGTGGTGCTAGTTTCTTTGCCTTGCGGCAGTTTCAAGTGTAGCCTTGCGGCTATTTTCCTCGTGCTGTGCCTTGCTGCGTTTGTGGGAAATTCGAGTATACTGTACCTCGGATATATGCAGCATTTGACCATTCCCCAAGGTGTGACCCACAACAGTTGACAAACACCCAGGGTTGTAATCACTGCTAGGTGGACAGAGGCAATGGGTGTAAGGAGACTTGCCCATACGACTCGCCCTGCCTGGGAGGGCAGGGCCCAGGGAAAGGCAGGCCATTTTGAGGGCCCATACAACTTGCCCTACCTGTAATTACCTAAGTGTAATTACCTAAGTGTAGTTACACGATAAGAGCTACGCTCGTGATGTCCCATCTACCCAGCACTCTTTGTCATATAACGCTTTGAAACGACTGATGGTTTTGGCCTCCACCACCTTCTCACTTAACTTGTTCCAGCCGTCTACCACTCTGTTTACAAAGTGAATTTTCTTATATTTCTTCGGCATCTTTGTTTAGTTAGTTTAAATCTATGACCTCTTGTTCTTGAAGTTCCAGGTCTCAGGAAATCTTCCCTATCAATTTTATCAATTCCTGTTACTATTTTGTATGTGGTGATCATATCACCTTTTTTTCTTGTCTTCTAATTTTGGCATATATAATGCCAAACTAGCCTCTAACCTCTCCTTGTAGCTCTTGCCCTTCAGTTCTGAGAGCCACTTAGTAGCATGTCTTTGCACCTTTTCCAGTTTGTTGATGTGCTTCTTAAGATATGGACACCACACAACCACTAAAAAAATTAGCACGATTGAGTGGAACTCTGGACTGTGAAGCCGTGGAGGATGCTCCTACAGCTGGGCTACTACGGCTTCTAACCTGTGTGCTGTTTGAGGTGCCCAATTGGACCCTTTGTTACCTTGTGTTCCTTGTTCCAGGACCAGTTGTCTCAGGTGGTTCACTGGTTGGTTCCATTTCAGGCTTCTGCCTTCAGGCTTCTGGCCTGAAGGCAGTTATTCGGGCTCATGATTCCTGGGGGTTCATTGTCCTAGTGCTGAGTCCTTCCAAGTTCTTTGTACTGTACTTCCTCCCAACCCCCAACATTCTGCCCCAGTTGATGTGTTCTTTCTCTGTGATGAGTTAGCTCAGTAAGCCAGTGTTGAATGTAATGAAATGCCTCATTCTAGTATGTCCCTCAGTAGTTTCTGTTCTTCTCAGCTTTCCTTCCTACGATGCTCAGGAGACATGCATATGGGCAGTGTGTTAAGGCCAGTGATGACTAGCTGGGACCCTCGAGTTACCAAGGTTGCCATCCAGTAGCAAAGGAGTGGTATTAACTAGCAAGTGGACCCAGACAACTAGTGTGCACATAATTTGAATCAGGGGTTGCATATGTTGTCCAAGCTGTTATGTGTTTTGGTGTGTTCTACCTTTCTATTAGTATTTACTTTGGTACTGTGGTGTCCCTTCTATTCCCAGACTCAACTCTGTCTCTTTAAAGAGGCCAGATTCTGGGCTTTATCTCCAGTTGGCACTTGTCATTTGTTAAATCCTAGATTGGTACTTCAGAATGGAAATGACTCAGGTGTGTAGCTTGGAGAACTATCAAGGAACCCACCAGAAAGAGGTGTTTCACTACAGTCAATGCTGAATTTTTTGGTTATAGTCTCACCAGACTCATTTCAACAGGTTCCTTTCATCTCAAAGAAAGAGAAATTCTGGTCCTGGCTACCAGTAGCTCAGAGTGGGTCTCGGTTACCTCATGTAACTCTTCTGGCTTGGCATAACTCGACAGGGCTTATGTCAGCTTGCTGATTCATTTTTTAATTCAATCATAGACCCTTGATACAATTTCCATCTTAACACTGCCAATACTAGAGTACTCACTTGTATCCCACTTTATATAGGTCGGCACTGATTGTGGAACTCCCACAACCTGGTACTAGGATGTTGTCTTGTGGCCGGACATACTTATGAAGGATTCCACACAGTTCTGCATAGTCTCCATACCTAGAAAGGGAGAGTTTAAATAAGCACACAACACATTGAAGAATATAAATTAAAACTATTATTTATACAGAATACTAGCTAAGAAATTCTGAATATAAAATAATTTTTGATACAATCCCAAAAAAGTAACTCCATCATAATCATGTAAATTGAAAAGTAAAGGTACAAAGCAGGGATAGCTAATATGGAATCAAAGCAGAAAGAAATGAAGAGGTTGAATCGACTAGAAGGAGGAGATAGAAAGGAATGGAGGATTTATGAAGATAAAAAAAAGAGGAAGAAGAAAGGAAGCAGGGAGGAACAGTGGGAAGGAAGGGAATGATCCGGTAAGATGTGAAGGCACTGAAAAATTGGCAAGCCATAATCTTTACCTGGATTGTACCTGGATGGGGTTTTGGGAGTTCTTATACCCCCCAAGCCTGGCCCGGGGCCAGGACTGACTCTTGATACTGTAACCTGGTCCAACAGGCTCTTGCTTGGAGTGGCCTGCAGGCCCACATATGCACTACAACCCAATTGGTCTGGCACTCTTTGCAGAAAACTCTCAAGTTTTTTCTTGGAGACTTTCACTTTTGTTCCAATAATGTTTCTTACACCTGTACTTGCTGGGAGGATATTGAACAACCTTGGACCTCTGATGTTTATACAGTGTTCTTCTATGACACCTCTACTCTTCACTAGCTTTATCCTGCATTTCCTTCTATATCATCATTCCAGTATGTTATTTTACTGTCCAAATTTGGGACCTGGCCTTTTAATATCTTCCATGTACTGTATATATTAATTGATACCATTCTCGCCTTCTTTCCAGAGAGTATATCTTGAGAGCTTCGAGATGGTATCAAAAATTTAGGTGTACTATTGTGTTTATGCATTCTGTATATGTTCACCATCTTCAGGTAAAAGATGGTGAAGGGTAGGGAAAGGAAGATGGTGAAGAGAAAGGAAGATGGTGAAGGGAAAGGAAGATAGTGAAGGGAAAGGAATGTGGTAAGGAAAAAAAAAGGTGGTGAAGGGAAAGGGAGGTGAAGGGAAAGAAAGATGATGAAGGGAAAGAAAGATGGTGAAAGGAAAGGGACGTGTTGAAAGGTTAGGAAGATGGTGAAAGGTAGGGAAGAAGGTGAAGGGTAGGAAAAGGGAGTGAAGGGTAGGGAAGGTGGTGAAGGGAAAAGAATGGGGTGAAGGGTAGGGAAAGTGGTGAAAGGAAAGGAAGGTGGTGAATGAAAAGGAAATTGGTGAAGGGTTGGAAAGGTGAAGGGAAAGGATTGTGGTGAAGGGTATGGAAGGCGAAGGGTAGAGAAAGTGGTGAAGGGTAGCGGTGGCAGTGAAGGACAGAGAAGGTGTGTAGGAAAGAAGGTTACACTGTAGAAGATAGTACTGTACTTAACTATCAGTACTTACCTATCAGTGACTACAGGGAAGTGAGGTCTGGCTCTTTATGCCCCGCCTCCTAGCATTGATATACCTGTTGCATTAAAGCTTCACTATTTTAACAATCAATATCTTTGTCGAACCTTTCCTTAAAGTTGTGAATGGATATAGTGTGTTGAGAAGATGTTGCATCTGTCACCTGAGCAATGCTGGCAACCCCCCTCCCCTTCTAGTATGAATGTATAACACATTTTTATACTGGTGAAATTGCTTAAAAAGGGGTGATATAACTAGTCTTCCTTGCCAAGCATCTGCTCCAGAGTGGCCATCTCTTGAACTTTGACCACCAACAAATTTTAGCTAATACTCTGTACAGTACCTAAATAGGTTTTGCATCTAGAAACTAGATTGTGATGCCATTTTTGGGTTAAATATTCCTTATACAATTCATACCATAGGTTTTCAAAACTTACACAAATTGTATTTTTTATTCCACTTACAAACAAACTGATAAAAGCGAGGACAACAGGCTCTCGAAGCTGTTTGAGATGCCACATTATGGGAATGCTGTACATGTAGGCACATCAACTAAGCTTATCCATATTTTGTACTTAGTAACAAATAGATCCTCCTTGTAACTATCTAAATAGTTACTTTCTGGTATTTACTTATTGGTATTTACATTATGGTACTTGTTACCTACTTTATGTACTTACTTTACTTCCTTTTTGTTACTTTGATACATACTCAGTACATACATTCTTACTTATTTTGTTACTCTATGTTACTTACTATTGTGCTCCTTATGTAAGTTAGTTATATATTAGTTATCATATTTGTTATGAAACTATTTTACTGAAGTTTACATGTAACTTTATTGTAAGTTTTCCGCAAGTTACTTAGTCTTATATTATTACCATATTTGTATTGTACTTTATATTATGAATTTTACTATTAAAAGTCCCAATGAATGCCGTGTTTCCTGTAACTCAAAAAGCCACATTGCAATGCTTCATCACAATGATGTTACAACAGTTTAGTCCCTGAAAACCATGAGAGATTTCCCCAATGGACAGTACAGTAGTAACACTCACCATTCAAATACTTTGTCGCCTCTCTTGGAGAAAAATGTATTCCAGTAATCCTTTGAACTGAAATCTTGAACTGTCTTTGGTATTAAACTCATCCCGGCCAGCTCGCTCTTTACGGCAACAGAAAATTATTTTGGACACAAATTATTCTTTAATTTCTGAAGGAAATTATGTGGTTTTGATAATAATGTAGCGAGTTTACTCAGCTGTCAGCACTGGATGTCACTAAGAACCATTTCCCCCGGGTGCTGCTCCGGGCAAAGTTCCCTCAACAACTGCCACACTAACTTTTCATCTGCCCCTTCATGAATAACTTTACTAATTATGGCCACTGTCGTTGTCCCAACTAAGTTATTCCCACTGATTCACGACAGATTATAATCCCAAGCAAATTCTTCTCTCATACAACTGCCTGGGCTAGTGAGGCCGGGATGATGTGGTTTTACTGGCTGTAACAACTTAGATTATTATATAGGCACTTGATTACAGCTCCTAGTTATCATGTGTTTTACAAATAGCGAATTGGGCTACTTTTGAGAGCCCCGCGCTCCCAAATTTTTAATTTCGCTACTTGCTACTTTTTGGGCTAATTTAAAAGCAAGATGTGCTAATTTGGGCTATTAAAGTTAAGAATGTACGATTGCGAGTTACATGAAAGTAACTAAGCTATAAATAATTGTAATTAATAATAATTGTAAATATTAATTAATACTAAATAATATTATTTAATAAATTAGTCCCAATTCAATGCAGAGTTTTCTTCCAAGCACAGAAACTTGTAAATATAAATACAAGATAATAGATAGATCGATAAATAAATAGACAACTTTCAAATATTGCACCAAGTAATGGCGAGAGGAAAAAAAACTAGACAGTATACATTACATTTGAAATTAATAATGGATGAATGGTAATAAATTGGTGTATGTTTGTATGTATACCAGACAAAGTCCATTTAATGGCAGAATTTAGCCATTTTGTGTAAAAACTTTTATATCTCATATTATTAATTATAACAGTAATCGAAAAAAGTCATAGTTTGTATATACAAGAGATGAAACAGAGAGCCATGAGCTAGAGCGATGTGCTGAGTCCATAAGGAGGCCGAGCTTCCAGAAATACCTTCCTGTGATTGGCTGTTGCGGGGAATACCAACACTCTTTTATGAATAAAATTTAAACTAAGAAATAGGTCCTTGTGCACAACAACAAGGTTGTTGTGAAAAAGAACAACAATTTCTGTTTTGCACCTGACAGAAATCTCCATCTAACTGAATAATTTACTCGAATAAGAGGGCAGAGCAGTGTATCATTATTTGTGTCAAGGCAACCCCCAATAATAACGTCACAAGTTAGGTAGCCAACCCATTTTTATATAACATCTGTTATATCCTGCAATATTTAATTATCACTTTATTAACACTTTAAATAATTAACACTTCACTTTTTTGGGTAAATTAAAGTTAAAGCAGAATTCCATAAGCAGGACTGGTGGGCTGAACTAAGATGATTTACTAAGTGGATGGCACCTATAGCTGATCCCTTCCTGTGATTGGCTGTTGCGGGGAATGCCAACGCTTATATGAATAAAATGCAAAATAAGAAATACGTCCTTTTGCTCAATAACCTTGTTGTTGTACAAAAGAACAACAATTTCTGTTTTATACAAGACAGAAATTTCCATCTAACTGAATAATGTAGACCAATAAGAGGGCGGAGGCATTGTATCGCCGATATTATTTGTGTGAGGCAACACCCACTGATGACGTCACAAGTCAGGTAGCCAGCCCATGTTTCTGTAACACTCGTTACATCCTGCAGTATTTAATTATCACTATATTAATACTTTTAAATACTTAACATTTCACTTTTTAGGTAGATTAAAGTTGAAGCAGAATGTCATAAGCAAGGATGGTGTGCTGAATAAAGATGAATTATTAAGTGCATGGAGCCTTTAGCTGATCCCTTCCCGTGATTGGCTGTTGTGTGAATGTCAACAAAGAATATCTACCAATGATATGGCATTTATTATGCACCCCATACCATCTGTGGGCGGAGCTTGGAACCTCCTACCCGAGCACAACAACCCGCCTTATGGGTTGCTGTTTGGCTATTTATAGTGCGTTGGAAAAAAACTAGATGGCGTTAGTTGTATTTTGTAGGGTAATTTGTTATAAGTGTAATTTGATGTCAACAGATGGCGTAAGCTGTATCTTATAGCCACTGTTGACCAGCCAGTTGATAGTGTTCTCTTCTGCCGACAGATGGCATCAGCTGTATTATTATTACTTCCGAATTCCCTTTTAAACACTGATCTACAAATCCCTTGGCTTATGATAAGGTTTTATACCATTTATGATAAGTATTAGATAACTGGAGTTCCACAATTACTTTTATTTATCAACTGTTGAGGATATCATCATATAACGTCTGGTTAGGACGTACTGCTCTCGATTGATGAAGATTAAGCCACCCAAGAGGTGGCACGGGCATGAATAGCCCGTAAATACTGCTCTCGTAATATTATTCAGGGGGGTGGGGGAACTATCAAGTGAAAGTGCCAAGCCATTACGACTATATAGCACTCGGAAGGGGTCAGGATACGGATTCGGGATGGGACGGTGGAAAGGAATGGTGCCCAACATCTTTGGCGGTCGGGGATTGAACTCGGACCTGTAGGAAACGAGACCGTCGCTCTACCGTTCAGCCCAAGTGGTCAAGCGTAATATTATTAAAACAACAATTTATGCATATAATAACAGCATTTCACACTAAAAATACTTGGATATATTGAAATTTGGTAGTGAATTCTCCTATGACTAAACTGTACTTTTTAATTATTTTTATGTACTTACTACTTATTATTAAATTATTAAGTACTTATTATAATAATTAAATAAATTATTTTATTTAATATTTAAATTAAATGATAAAATAATAGGTAATAATAAATCATTGTGCAGGGGGACAGGCAGCCAGTGTATATATACATGTTAGGCTTATACCAAGGTGCCACAAAGGTGCCACAAAGGTACCAAATTAAAGACTGGGTGCTGCCGGGGCGGGCCCAAGGGCTGCTGGCGGCCCTGGCCAGGCTGAACTTCCGCGCCCTTATAATCACCATTGTTTAATAATCTTCACAGGGAGAAACAACTGTAAATATAGGAATAGTTTATTACAACATACACGGTAAAGAAAACAGCTCGGAAACTAAGGAAATAAAGCTGCTGAAAAAACATTAAAGTTCACTTCAAGTTCAAGTATGTTTATTGAGACAATAAAAAAATACATCTTAAAGGGATAGAGTAGCTTAGGCTATTTCTACCCCCCCCCCTCTACTTCAAGTCCCTCAAGTGGCGCACAAATTCAGTGAGTACAAATACACAAATCACAACAAGAATCCCATTTAACATAGCAGGTTAAAATAGGAAGCACAGCATATAAGTGTTACAAGTGAGTTACAAGTTACAAGGGATATACATATATATAAGTATATATATATATATATATAATATATATATATATATATATATATATATATATATATATATATATATATATATATATATATATATATATATATATATATGCAACATATATATATATATATATATATATTATGCAACATATGCAATATATGCAATATGCAACATATATCGAACCCGTCTGTGACATTCATCAATGTTTCCCATAACCTTTAAGCACCTTTTTGCATTATATATTCAAGGAAGGGGGTGGTAGGAGAAAAGCACACAGAAACTGTATTGGAGGGGATCTAAACATTCCCTCTAATGCGTTATGCGTGGTTTCCTCCGAGGCTATGGGTCCCCCTTCTAGCTATGGTATATATATATATATATATATATATATATATATATATATATATATATATATATATATATATATATATATATATATATATATATATATATAAAATAAAATAAAATGTTTATTTAGGTAAGGTACATACATACAACAAATTTTTACAAAGAATGGTTGACTTATAGGTAGAGCTAGTACATACAATGCCTAAAGCCACTATTACGCAAAGCGTTTCGGGCATGATAAACTTAAATGACAAGCTTAATACTAATTGAGCATAATGAGTAGAATGAAAACATTGATGAAAAAGCAGCACAAATACAATTATGTCAACAAACAGCGCTCTTTTAAAAAAAAACAATTGAAATTGAAATTGAAATTGAAATAAAAAAAACAGACATTGGTTGACAATAGAAGGGTAAGGTAGGTTACAGGGAATTTATTAGGTATAGCTTCGTTTTTAACTTAAACTGGTTGAGAGAGGTACAGTCTTTAACATGGTTGGGAAGGTCATTCCACATTCTAGGCCCCTTGATTTGTAGAGCATTTCTAGTTTGATTAAGTCGTACTCTAGGAATATCAAAACTGTATTTATTTCTGGTGTGGTGCTCATGGGTTCTGTTACATCCTTCTATGAAGCTTTTGAGATCAGGATTGGCATTATAGTTTAGCGTTTTATATATGTATAATACACATGAGAGAATATATATATATATATATATATATATATATATATATATATATATATATATATATATATATATATATATATATATATATATATATATATATATATATATATATATATATATATATATATATATATATATATATATATTAGTATATTTTGGTAGCAGTCTTTCCTGTAGACATATATTATTAAATATGACCGAAAAAGTAAGATTAATAATTTTAACACGAATTTTCTCAATCTTTCGTACATTACGCTTCACTGTTGGAGGTAAATCAAAAATCAATTCTCCAAAATTCATTTTTATTTCTAGTCTGACGCGACACGAGCGCGTTTCGTAAAACTTATTACATTTTCAAAGACTTTAATTCACAAATACACAACTGAATAGAACTTACGCATCTCCGATTTTATATCTACATTTGAGTGAGGTGGAAGGGGTGATGTGGCATTAACACAAGACAGAACAAAATGTGGTATTAATAGGGTATTAATTTCATCAACACAAGACAGAACAAGAGTATTAATAGGGTATTAATTTCATCAACACAAGACAGAACACGAAACAATGGATATTGAATAGAAGTGTTTGTAGAAAGCCTATTGGTCCATATTTCTTGATGCTTCTATATTGGAGCGGAGTCTTGAGGTGGGTAGAATATAGTTGTGCAATAATTGGCTGTTGATTGCTGGTGTTGACTTCTTGATGTGTAGTGCCACGCAAACGTCAAGCCGCCTGCTATCTCTGTATCTATCGATGATTTCTGTGTTGTTTACTAGGATTTCTCTGGCGATGGTTTGGTTGTGGGAAGAGATTATATGTTCCTTAATGGAGCCCTGTTGCTTATGCATCGTTAAACGCCTAGAAAGAGATGTTGTTGTCTTGCCTATATACTGGGTTTTTTGGAGCTTACAGTCCCCAAGTGGGCATTTGAAGGCATAGACGACGTTAGTCTCTTTTAAAGCGTTCTGTTTTGTGTCTGGAGAGTTTCTCATGAGTAGGCTGGCCGTTTTTCTGGTTTTATAGTAAATCGTCAGTTGTATCCTCTGATTTTTGTCTGTAGGGATAACGTTTCTATTAACAATATCTTTCAGGACCCTTTCCTCCGTTTTATGAGCTGTGGAAAAGAAGTTCCCGTAAAATAGTCTAATAGGGGGTATAGGTGTTGTGTTAGTTGTCTCTTCAGAGGTTGCATGGCTTTTCACTTTCCTTCTTATGATGTCTTCGACGAAACCATTGGAGAAGCCGTTATTGACTAGGACCTGCCTTACCCTACAGAGTTCTTCGTCGACTTGCTTCCATTCTGAGCTGTGGCTGAGAGCACGGTCGACATATGCGTTAACAACACTCCTCTTGTACCTGTCAGGGCAGTCGCTGTTGGCATTTAGGCACATTCCTATGTTTGTTTCCTTAGTGTAGACTGCAGTGTGGAAACCTCCGCCCTTTTCCATGACTGTTACATCTAGAAAGGGCAGCTTCCCATCCTTTTCCATCTCGTAAGTGAAACGCAGCACGGAACTCTGCTCAAATGCCTCCTTCAGCTCCTGCAGATGTCTGACATCAGGTACCTGTGTAAAAATGTCGTCAACATACCTGCAGTATATGGCCGGTTTCAAGTTCATGTCGACTAAGACTTTTTGCTCGATGAATTTTGGAGAATTGATTTTTGATTTACCTCCAACAGTGAAGCGTAATGTACGAAAGATTGAGAAAATTCGTGTTAAAATTATTAATCTTACTTTTTCGGTCATATTTAATAATATATATATATATATATATATATATATATATATATATATATATATATATATATATATATATATATATATATATATATATATATATATATATATATATGTGTATATATATATATGTATATATATATATATATATATATATATGTATATATATATATATATATATATATATATATATAAACAAGCCTGAATGGTCCCCAGGACTATATACAACTGAAAACTCACACCCCAGAAGTGACTCGAACCCATACTCCCACAACTGGTATGTACAGGGACGCCTTAATCCGCTTGACCATCACGACCGGACATAAGGAAGTGATAGCCGAGGCTATATGAACCACTTCCCCGCCGGCACTCGGATGGTAATCTTGGGCATAGGTGATTTGATATATATATATATATATATATATATATATATATATATATATATATATATATATGTCGTACCTAGTAGCCAGAACTCACTTCTCAGCCTACTATGCAAGGCCAAATTTGCCTAGTAAGCCAAGTTTTCATGAATTAATTGTTTTTTCGACTACCTAACCTACCTAACCTAACCTAACCTAACTTTTCGGCTACCTAACCAAACCTAACCTATAAAGATAGGTTAGGTTAGGTTAGGTAGGGTTGGTTAGGTTCAGTCATATATCTACGTTAATTTTAACTCCAATAAAAAAAATTGACCTCATACATAATGAAATGGGTAGCTTTATCATTTCATAAGAAAAAAATTAGAAAAAATATATTAATTCAGGAAAACTTGGCTTATTAGGCAAATCGGGCCTTGAATAGTAGGCCAAAAAGTGAGTTCTGGCTACTAGGTACGACATATATATATATATATATATATATATATATATATATATATATATATATATGTCGTACCTAGTAGCCAGAACTCACTTCTCAGCCTACTATGCAAGGCCCGATTTGCCTAATAAGCCAAGTTTTCATGAATTAATGTTTTTTCGTCTACCTAACCTACCTAACCTAACCTAACCTAGCTTTTTTGGCTACCTAACCTAACCTTACCTATATATATAGGTTAGGTTAGGTTAGGTAGGGTTGGTTAGGTTCGGTCATATATCTACGTTAATTTTAACTCCAATAAAAAAAAATTGACCTCATACATAATGAAATGGGTAGCTTTATCATTTCATAAGAAAAAAATTATAGTAAATATATTAATTCAGGAAAACTTGGCTTATTAGGCAAATCGGGCCTTGAATAGTAGGCTGAGAAGTGAGTTCTGGCTACTAGGTACGACATATATATATATATATATATATATATATATATATATATATATATATATATATATATATATATATATATATATATATATATGTCGTACCTAGTAGCCAGAACGCACTTTTTGGCCTACTATTCAAGGCCCGATTTGCCTAATAAGCCAAGTTTTCCTGAATTAATATATTTTTTCTAATTTTTTTCTTATGAAATGATAAAGCTACCCATTTCATTATGTATGAGGTCAATTTTTTTTATTGGAGTTAAAATTAACGTAGATATATGACCGAACCTAACCAACCCTACCTAACCTAACCTAACCTATCTTTATAGGTTAGGTTTGGTTAGGTAGCCGAAAAAGTTAGGTTAGGTTAGGTAGGTAGGTTAGGTAGTCGAAAACATTAATTCATGAAAACTTGGCTTATTAGGCAAATCAGGCCTTGCATAGTAGGCAGAGAAGTGCGTTCTGGCTACTAGGTACGACATATATATATATATATATATATATATATATATATATATATATATATATATATATATATATATATATATATATATATATATATATATATATATATATATATATATATATATATATGTGTGTGTATGTGCAGAAATAATATTAATAAAACAATTAACATCGTGTAGTGTACTCTATATATCAAAATATATTACTTTGAAACCCATATCATTCACTAAAAAAGATTGGGCTACTTTTATTACAAATTCGCTACTTTTAGAGCGTCAGCTCGCTACTTTCCGCAACATAGATCTGGCAACCGTGATCGGGTTGTCAACAACAACAATGGCGGGCTGACCGACGCCGCCCTTGTCCCTACACCGCCTCTCTCTGTCATTGTCCCTCTACTGCCGTCTACTTGTCTGTCTCAGCCACTGTCTACCTGTCTGTCTGTCCCTCCAGCTGCTGCTGCTCACCGTCCGCGCTGGTCAGTCAGTCGCCTCGGCAAGTCTTCCTATCTTCCCTTTTCCTAGACGCCCCATTTAATTTGTTTAGTGTTGTTACTCTGTCTTCTGCCATAACGGAGACATGACGTTGCCCACATGTTCGCATGCCGCTGCTGCTCGTAAAGGATAAAAGTGGAGACAGAGATTTGCATGCAAGCACGAGCCCAGCCGTGTCAATAAAGGTGTCCCACACCACCTCACAAGCTGTATGATTTTACCACGTCCTGGTGTCCCACTCTGGCTTGCCCCACATTAAGCCAGGTTAGGAGTAACCTAATGAAAATGCCCTATAAGACGGGTTGCTTTATGGCATGAAATGTCCTAAATTGGCTTTATTTTGTGATTTTTGTGCGTTGAAAATCGTAGGATTCAAAACCAGTGCTAGCAATAAATTTAGAACGTCATAGTGGCGATACATACCTCGTTCATGCTATATATATATATATTTATATATATATATATATATATATATGTCGTACCTAGTAGCCAGAACTCACTTCTCAGCCTACTATTCAAGGCCCGATTTGCCTAATAAGCCAAGTTTTCATGAATTAATATATTTACTATAATTTTTTTCTTATGAAATGATAAAGCAACCCTTTTCTCTATGTATGAGGTCAATTTTTTTTTTATTGGAGTTAAAATTAACGTAGATATATGACCGAACCTAACCAACCCTACCTAACCTAACCTAACCTATATTTATAGGTAAGGTTAGGTTAGGTAGCCAAAAAAATCTAGGTTAGGTAGGTTAGGTAGACGAAAAAGCATTAATTCATGAAAACTTGGCTTATTAGGCAAATCGGGCCTTGAATAGTAGGCTGAGAAGTGCGTTCTGGCTATTAGGTACGACATATATATATATATATATATATATGTCGTACCTAGTAGCCAGAACGCACTTCTCAGCCTACTATGCAAGGCCCGATTTGCCTAATAAGCCAAGTTTTCATGAATTAATTGTTTTTCCACTACCTAACCTAACCTAACCTATAAAGATAGGTTAGGTTAGGTAGGGTTGGTTAGGTTCGGTCATATATCTACGTTAATTTTAACTTCAATAAAAAAAATTGACCTCATACATAATGAAATGGGTAGCTTTATCATTTCAAAAGAAAAAAGTTGGAGAAAATATATTAATTCAGGAAAACTTGGCTTATTAGGCAAATCGGGCCTTGAATAGTAGGCTGATAAGTGCGTTCTGGCTACTAGGTACGACATATATATATATATATATATATATATATATATATATATATATATATAAATATTTATAATACAATATATTTTATCAATTATTTTTGTTAGGTTTAGTTGATTGTATGGGGTTGGGTTAGGTTAGGGGGTTATTAAAGAATAGGGATGTTGTCAACAGGCCAAACTTTTTTATGGTTGTAGACCATACTTCCTAACAAGGTAATGGTCAAATAACAACCAGGCATTTTTCACATGGCTCGTTATCTAATTGATAAACCCATATATATATATATACCTAATAGCCAGAACGCACTTCTCAGCCTACTATGCAAGGCCCGATTTGCCTAATAAGCCAAGTTTTACTGAATTAATATAATTTTTTTCTTATGAAATGATAAAGCTACCCATTTCATTATGAATGAGGTCAATTTATTTTTATTGGAGTTAAAATATAGATATATGACCAAACCTAACCAACCCTACCTAACCTAACCTAACCTATCTTTATAGATTAGGTTCGGTGTGGTAGCCGAAAAAGTTAGGTTAGGTTATGTTAGGTAGGTTAGGTAGTCGAAAAACAATAAATTCATGAAAACTTGGCTTATTAGGCAAATCGGGCCTTGCATAGTAGGCCGAGAAGTGCGTTCTGGCTACTAGGTACGACATATATATATATATATATATATATATATATATATATATATATATATATATATATATATATATATATATATATATATATATATTAGTTTGGCTGGGTTATGTTAGTTAGGTTGGGTTTAAGAGCCATTGGTGAACCTTCTTGAGTATGAGGTGACTTGTATCTCATAATACAGTACTGTACTGTAATTCTAAATGACCCTAAAGTAGATACTTTGTTCAAACTATGTCTTAAGACCCTGAGCAGCTTAAGGGTTAAAGTAAGTATTTCAAAGCATGGAAGGTAATATTGATAGCATAATGTACCTTACAAGATGTAAAATAGACATTATAAGGTGTGAGTGTTGTCCTAAAATGAGGTTCCCAGTGGACAAATATCTTCTTAAAGTGGGCATCCTGATGTATAAAAAGCACTTTGCTGTACTAAAATGGCCATACTATAGAGTAGGGTGTAAAACCTGGAGTTAGTATAATTTTGTACATTTTTTATTTATATACAAGTAGGTATATTGGGTTGTGAGAGTACATAATAATAATGTTCTTACATTCTTGCAAAGCCACCAACACACATAGCATTTTGGGTAGATCCTCAATTAAACAAATAAACTAACCAATAAAGATAAGATTATTAATAGGTACATTGTAGGAAAATATGAGTCTACCATAATTTATTTATTTATTTTATTTATTTATATATATACAAGAAGGTACATTGGGTTTGTGAGAATACATTGGATAGTACAGTATTTACACTCTTGTAAAGCCACTAGTACGCGCAGCGTTTCGGGCAGGTCCTTAATCTAACAGATAATTTTAAGTAGGTAATTTCTATCAGAATTGATAAATGATAAAGATACATTGCAAGAGAAAAATGAGATGAGAGAGCTTAGTAAGTATATTAAAGCACATTGTTATATTAAAGCTCTGATTGATTACATTGGCAGCTTGATTAGTAATTTAAACAAGATTAATAGACACCATACAGCAGATTGACAGCACATATAAGACAGCAATGATCACAATGGTAAAGATGTTAAGATTGGGTACATAAAGATTGGGAGACTGGGTAGCAAAAGATACAGATAAACAAGATTTATAAACACCATACAGCAGAATGGCAGCACATATAAGAAGAGAGCAATGATCACAATGGTAAAGATGTTCAAATTGGGAACATAAAGGTTGGGAGATTGGGTAGCAATAGATACAGTGCAATTTTAAGGGAAAAAGTGAAAAACTATGAAGATGAAATTAGGTACTTTTTAGTATTGATTTTGAATGATGTAAAAGTTGGACAGCTTTTCAATTCAATAGGGAGTGAGTTCCATAAACTGGGTCCCTTTATTTGCATAGAGTGTTTACACAGATTAAGTTTAACTCTGGGGATATCAAAGAGATATTTATTTCTGGTGTGGTGATAATGGGTCTTATTACATCTGTCCAGGAAGAGTTTCAGAGCAGGATTTGCATTTAAGAACAGGGTTTTGTAAATGTAGTTGACACAAGAGAATTTATGGAGTGAGATTATGTTTAGTATGTTTAGGGAGTTAAACAAGGGGGCTGAGTGTTGTCTGAAAGCAGAGTTTGATATTATTCTGATAGCAGATTTTTGCTGGGTGATGATGGACTTGAGGTGGTTTGCAGTGATAATAATTAGCGATAATAACTACAATATAAATTGATTGAAGTAATTACACTGGTGAAGTTGCATATCTTAAATGCTAAAATTGGGGAGTAGGTAGCACAAAGTACAGTGTGAGTTTGAAGCACAAGGAAGGAAATCATGAGGATGAAATTAGTTACTTTTTGGTTTTACCTTTGATGATGAAGTCATACTTGATACAATGACACAGAGTAAAGGAATTTGTTACTGGTATTATAAAGAATATACTGTACAGTATATGTATATGAAATGGTGGGGGTGGGGGGGGGGGGCTGACAGCTTAGTGGACAGTGCTCGGGATTCGTAGTCCTGAGGTTCCGGGTGCGATCCCCAGTGGAGGCAGAAACAAATGGGCAGAGTTTCTTTCACCCTGATGCATCTGTTTATCTAGCAGTAAATAGGTACCAGGGAGTTAGACAGCTGTTGTGGGCTGCTTCCTGGGGGGTGTGTAACAAAAAGGAGGCCTGGTCGAGGACCGGGCCACAAGGACACTAAGCCCCGAAATCATCTCAAGAAGCTACAGTATTTATGGCCACGAAGTGAACCCCTATTTAACCTATACAAGCCTATGTGACTGCTGCAATATTCAGATACAATGTAACATAACATAAATTAATTCAATATCATGCCTTAGGCCCAAAAATAGTGCACATGCAGATTTGCTAGTAGAGTTAATGTCACCTGTATAAAATTGATCAAGTTTTCACCACTCTTCAGACTCTACTACCTACAGTAGGTAGGATCAACTACCCACTTTAGGTAGTTTCTAAACCTTTCCCTTTCCCTTTTAGGTAGTTTCTATACCTCACCTTTCCCTGAATTGGGAAAGGTGAACTAAAGTTGGGGTCCTTCGGAGGAATAAAACTAAAAATAATTGATCCTGGAAGAGAATAGTCATTTCACTCACTGGTCATTTCACCCTTAAAATGGTAGCAAACTGATAGAGGGAGTATACTATGTATGTTACAGAGTGAACACAGGACTGGCTGAGGAAGTTTCATACATTCATAATGTAATCAAGGCAGCAACTGAAGCACACATATGCTGTAATAGGGAATTTTAACTACAAGGCCATAGACTGGGTGAATCTTACATAAACAGAAGGAAAGTAAGTTTTTAACCTTTTAATCAATGATGGCCCACCCAAATGTAACAATATTCTAGATCTTGTGCTAACATGTGATCATTATATCTCTAGATGGAATATAATTCTAGAACTCTATGTAAAGGTCCAGGATGATGACTCGTTTGACCACCTTTGAGGTGACTATCAAGGAATGAGAAAGGAATTGCAAAATGCTTCTTGGAGCCTTAGAGAGCCGTATGAAAAAAATTATGTAAATTCATTAACGTTGTCATTTTCACGGATAAAGCAACGAAAGCAAAGGGTCGTCTTAAATGGAAATGATTGTGACGGGAGCAATGTAGTGAGTGAGGTACTGCAAAGTTCCATCTTGTCTT